GTAGGAAAAGACATTTAAGARAAATTTTAGATCGTACTTGAAAAAAAATAAAGRATTTGAAACTTTGGTACAAATTTCAAAATAACAATTATATAATAAGATTATCGTATAGTTTAATGAACGAAATTTTTGTAAGCCAATTTAATTTTCAAATTTAAATGGTTTTTCAATGTATAATTTATGATGGACCTATTAACATACGAAACTATTAAAATTAAATTAAATATAGTTATTATCCATTGGTTTGCATAGTAGAAGTTATACAAGCCAACATAAATATGATTAYATATTTTAAAATTAATCTGACTTAATTTCACAATTTTCAGATTATATTATTATAAAAAAGTCAATCAATTTTTTTGAATTTTTATATAAAAGGATAATTCTCTCCAATGCTGTAGTGTGTGGGAATTTAGATATAATGATTTAATAATCTAAAAGAAGTGGCTTTTCATGAAAGAGCTAATGTATTAAAATATTGTCATAACATTTTAGGCAATCACCCGCGGACAGCTGAACTATGTATRCACACACATTTTTGTTGCCTCTGTTCATGTTTATAAGTTAGTGTCGTTTCAATCAGTCAGAAATTTCCGTACCTTACACCAATCAACGTAGCTTTTAAAGAAGTTATTGTCTCTAATCAACAGCCGTGAAAACCAACATCTTTTTTTTATAAAGTAATTTTTTTATTTAGTCTATTAAGTACTTTGTAGTGGATGGTTGTTATAATATAACTAATCTCATTGAGGYATCGCCGYGGTGATTATATCTTTGGCCATGCGATAAACTAAAAAACGATCAAATAAATAATCATAAAATACGTGGATAGGGAAACTTGTCGGGCGAGAGTTGTAACCTCTACCCTTGAAAATGTTTCAATATTTAAYTATTATAAATGATAATAAAAACATACTAAATTCAAAACAACTTGATGCTATATTTTTTCTAACCCCACCGCCCTCAAAAAAAAAAATAAAAAATAAATTCCACTGCTAATAGTACAAATGATATAAATCAATGAGATTAAATAAATTAAGTGCGCTCTGTAATTCGTGATAAGTGGTTTTAAAAGGATTGTTTTACCTTACATTTTATAAAATAGAAGAAAAGTATTGAACAAACATATTATCTGTGGTTTAGAAAAAACATAGGTACCTACCTATAATTTTTCAATTTGTATACAAGTTAATATATTTTATAAAAATATTCGAAACGTCCTCAATGCCTTCGATATTTGTAATACAGAAGTATTTCCAAATGTTCATAAAATTTTATGTGTAATGTCAGTTTTGCCTGTGACTACAACGACTAATGAAAGGTCATTTTCAACATTACGTCGGCTGAAAACTTACCTACGATCAACAATGGGTGAAGAACGCTTAAATGGACTGGAATCATTGAATATTCATCGTGATAATATAATATAATTTATACTACTGACAATAAAAATCAAAAAACACATATTAACATTATTTAATAGTTTAATACTAAGCCTACATTCATAATACCTTTAATATACAATTATAATGAAAAAGAAAAAAATGATTATAACTAATTTAGGATTTATGGTGTATGATTTTTACAGATTTTAACTGAGTTAAAACTATTGTTTTAAAARTATTCAAAAATTAATTTCCATAGTTTGAAAATGTATACTATACAAAAAATCATTGAAGTAAAAAACAAATATTGTTATTTATTTAAATGCCAGAAAAGAATTATGAAAGGAATATTTTCAAATCTTAGGTATAAAAGGAAAATTTTTTATGAATTTCTAGGATAAAATAATTT